ACACACACACACACATACACACACCTCAAACACACAACTGTTCGCCACAACCCCACATGATCAAGACCTCACACATCTGGACCACCTCAAATTGACGGTAGACCTGGCTCCTCATCGGCTTCTTCCGTTGGCTTCTCTACCGAGACGAGCTGCTCGCGGGAGATAGAGCGCCACCTGTGGCCTTGGTTGTCGGTCAAAGCTGAGTCATGGCTGGATTCCGGTCAGCAGATTGGATAAAGTTCATTGGGTGAACATGACATGGAGATAAATGGGGTGAGAAAACTATAATTAGATATCTTTAACACAAAGCAGCAATGACTTGGAAAACAATGGGAAAGGTTGGGAAAGCCCTTTTGGATGATCTTGGATGGTTGATGATGTGCATCTCGCATAAATAAAGTGCGGCAGGATGATATTTGTTTTGAATATGATATATGTTTAAATATGTTTGACGTTTGCCCAAGCCTTCAAGCCATCCCAAGCCCATCCATTGCCACAACCTGCATGGATGATGAACAACCAACAACAGGAACAGCAGCGCAGGCTTGTCCTCTTTTCTAGGATGCTGCACTTGTCGTTATTGCCATGCCACCAAAATGAAGAACCTGGCTGTTGATATACTGATATACAGTACTCGAAAATATCTGTGTAAACTTGTGATGGTGGTGACGGGCCTCCATACAAAATATATTGCAGTGGTACAGTATACAGTACAGGATTGAACTCACTGGCTCAAAATCATATGCCCCAGCCAGTGAAGTCAGTAACGGTTAGCACAGAAGGATAGCCTCATGTCACCCATGGTTTGTTCAAGCAGTTGTTTTATTAGTGGATGTATATGTTCCCTCAGTGTTCCTTCTGCAGGCCGGCTTCACCGCAAAGGCCACAGGATTCACCATCGACCGTGACCGGTGGGGACCGGGCTGCCCGGCGCCAAGTGCATGGCCGAGCGCACGAGCTGGCGTCCATCCAAGCCCTGCACACCGGGATGCACCGGGCAGGTGCGAAGAAGGTGCGACCCCTCACAAGATTGGCCGGGTGAGCCGAATCATGCCGAATCACAAGGTAATCAGCTCTGGGCCAAATCTGTAAGGTAAGCACGATTTTCATCTGAATATCAACCAACGTGCTACCTACATCTCCAGTACCTGCTACGTGGCGGTTCGACTGTGCGATGGTTCTGGTGTGGAGATCTGGATCGCCCGCAGCGCCCACCGGTGGGACTAAGTGAGATCAGGATCTTCAATGGTCCAACTGACAGGAGTATTGGTGTAAATATGCTCCCCCCGCAAAGCCCTAAAACAGGGAGCCCAAAGATTAAAGTATCGAAGGCTTCCTAAGGCACCACACTCATCAAACAGCACACTGCATGTCTTGACATTCACACATGTCCCTTTCAATTTGCTGATGAAATTGAACAAGAATTCGCCCACGGTCGAAACCGCGCATCGCCCACTGAATGCCCAACAGGTGTCCTCTCCCAAACGGCTCAGTGAGAAGCGCGATGGCAACCGGCCCTCGGTCGATTGTTGCGATTGAGCCGATTTTGACACGAACCAATTAAGGCGATTTTGGCATAAGTTGCTAGAAACAGTGACAGTACCATATAGAAATGTCTGAGCCGCACAAACACAAAGGGTCCTCAAGGCGTGTCCAAATATTCCGAAGCATTTAGCTCGCAAGGAGTTTGACCTCACGTGTATCCTTTTGGGGAAGTAGACGGGTTAGGATTTGTTAAGTATTTTTTTGATGGAATATGGTGAGCAGTGAGTGTAGTGAGTTGTTCTATAGTTTTTGCTTTGTTTGTTTGGGGGCCCTTGGGGGTTTGGTGTGAAGCGCTCTTCCGAAAGGGTGTGGAACCTTCCGTCCTTCCCTCCGGCGAGTCGTCCTTAGTCTAGCCCGGAAACCGGAGAACACCTCGCCTCATCGGCCCAGGGTGGAGATAAAAAACACGGCATTCACCTGAAAGGAGGCCAGGAAGCATTGTGAAAGTGGCTCTGCGCTCTGCTTGTCTTAGGCATTCTGAGGCTACGGCCTCTTTCCAAGATTTAGAAGGTTTGATGAGTTTTTTTGGCTGACCTCACTCCATGTAAAAATAGTGACTCCCGCCCAGATCACCATCATGCTCATCAGAACATACCACAACCACAACTCTACCACCTCTTGTCTTGAGTCTTGAGGTGACTGTCCCCACCTCTGAATTCATGCATCCCCGAGGGCCGTTGCCCTCGAGGCCTTGAAGACATGACGGGTCACCAACGTCGGGTCTAAGTTGGCCAAAGCAACAAAACATCTGAGTCATCTGAGCATCTTGTTGGGTCCATACCCAAACACTCAATGTATGGTCTACTCAATGCATGGTTCATGCCCAAGCACTCGTTGCACCGCGATGTAGACAGACATGACGGCAACTATGACTGCAAATAGGCCATACATGGAGTGTCTGGGGTAGGGTTGCTGGTACGGTTCACGGGTCGAATGGTCCGCCGTGATAGGGCGCCCGTGTCGAGGGCACCGGTGGAGAGCATCAACGAACCCCAGGCCCGTGGTGAGTGGAGCACCATCCGAGGCTCCCACCGCTTCCTTTGGAAGGACTAAATATATCAATATAACAAAACCCATTCATCTAAATACCTGGATCATCAGACCAAACCCATAGTGGATACCCATCCCCTATGGGTTAACACCTTCATAGTGGCACCCCTGACACGGTGGCATCACCTGGATCCGGTGTCGCCTGAGGTCGAAGGGTGCGGTGCCTCGGTGACCATCTTCACACCAGGCCCAGGGCATTGAGTCACCTCACTTCCACTGGGCCTTGGGAGTGGATCCATAATAGGCCCTAGGATGCAGGGGGGGCTCCAGCCGTACTTTCTAAGAAGGTGGGACTGGGGTGGGTGCCCGGAGGGTCCAAATACCATCTGAGGAGGTACTTGGAGCCCTAGGGAGGGGGGGTTCCCTATTGTGGCCCTTATTGAGCGACTGCATGGACCAGTGGGGTGTAGTGACCCACGACCAAGAATGACTAATGTTCACGTGCTTGTCCAAGGTGCTTTTACATAATATCTCTCCGAGAGGGATGGAACAACAACACACCGACTCACACAAATGGAACGAGAAAAAGTGAGAAGCCAACCTGTTGGCCAATGAGAAGCCGTTCTTAACCTGTTGGCGACAAATGAGCCGCCAGTCGTCTACGTCAGCCTAAGTACTTGGGTGTTTGAGCTTTAGACTCCATCCTGTGTCAAAACGGCCCCCCCGTGTTCACACCGGAGAGGCAACCATACACAGGGGCCAAGTGGCAAAAGCCGGGCATCGGCTTGCAAGAAGTCCAAGTGTGTTTCACCTCAAGGCGAGTTCCCGATCGGTCCGCTGATCAGTCCAGGGACCACAGGGTGCGATTATGAGACTCTTCTACTTCCCACTTAGGCAGCCTGCAATCCAACTTCTAAATTCTAGGAGCAAGAAACTACTACGGGCTCCTGGCCTTACTACTAGGAGCAAGGACGCTACTAGCGGCTCCTGGCATCACTACTAGTAACAAGAAGCTACTAGACTGCCGACGGCGAATCTGGGCCAACTGATCCGTCGATTCGTATGCGATCGTCACGATCGTCCAAGGATGCTGGTCACGTCGTCCACGTCCGAGTTGGGCATGGGATGTTGCTCAAAGGCGGTAGCAGCGCGGATGACAAAACAAGGCAATGTGGCATCAGTGTGCCAAAGCTCCAAAAGCAAAGCCTATTGCAGCACCCGTCCAATTGCCGGACGGACCAGGAATGATGTGATCAAATGACCTTTGGACCACAAATGCTCAAACCATTTCAAACCTCCAAGACTCCAAATAACATATCTACAAGCTGCTTGGTCCCACGATGTCCCAAGCCCATTCGCTTGGGAGATTGCGAGGTCGAGCTGGCCCCCCGAGAAAACGCTGACCACTACGCTGACCATCAGGAATGTCCATGCCCAACCACTGGGGCATGTTTCCACGCACCAACTTCATATCAGTCCATTAGAATCCATAGTTTATAAACGCGGGATGTTTTTTACATACCTAAGAGCCTGGGACAAAAATGCACAATCCTAAAGATCAATCTGATGGTCATCAAAGAATCAATCCCCAATATGTTTTACAGTAGCTCTTCAGTCGCTCCAGTCTTTCCACCCCAAAGACTGAGACTAACAGTCACTGCTCCTACAAACGGATCCTTCCTAGGTCATCTGGAGGGTCATCCAGAAACAGCGATAGACCTGGTGAATGAGGCCATTTCGACCAGGCACAGCGATAGATGTGGGCATTGTGGCGAGCCTGCGGGCTGTGGTTCGCTGAGCGAAGATTGTGCACCGTCGGTTTGGGCCTTCTTCACCGCCGGTGAAGACAGAAGAGATGACCGGGCGCCGGGAGCTCACCTGTGGCTATCCCTGGCCTTCAACTTAATTGTTCCAGAGTTCCGGGTCAATGAATGCGAGGACAAGGGTACCCCACCTGACCAACAGTGGTTGTTTCAGTTTTGCATTTCAGAAGTGGACTGGGCGAGAAAGACACGCACAGGTCCCGTGGCCTTTCAGAACTGTGTAAAGCAGTTCTAGTCATTCCTAGTCCACAACAACATCCATTATGATTCACGAGACTAGTTAAGAGTTTTCATGAAAGTTTGGTGCCACAAGAAAACAACAGTGGTTTGACTCCACAAACACCGGTAGCTTAGAAAACACAAGTATTCCCCAAATCCCCACCTTCTCAAGAGTGCTTACTTGCCAATACAGTAGATGTCCGTCTCATCTTATCATCCGTCACTGAGAACAAAATCGGCGTGCGCCTATCCACAAACAGGCGCACACCACAGTCCACACACCAGTCGGTCCATCCACCAGTCTGGGCGACCCTCCAGTCGGTCTCTATTCAGAGGCGCCGGGAGTGAACCCTACACTCCAGGCGCCTGCTTGAGACGCGGCAAGAGCACTTCGGCACACACCACAAAGCCTGAAGTCGGCGCGGAGCGTTGCTTCGGCTGTGGGTTTTAAGCCCGGGAGCTGGTGTTCAAGCTGGTGAAGTGATGCGAAGCTGGGAAGTTCTCGAGGTTGGTTCCACTGGCCTAAACAGCACCATGCTCCACCATGCTTGCTTCCACTACCCGGCCTCCCGTTTTGGCGAGCTGGATGCTGTTCCTGGGTGCCAGACCAGTGCCACAGCAGGTTTGAAGTTTGAACGCTGCAAAATCAATCTTGGCACCTGTGACGCCAACGTTAGCCTGTGACACAACAGGTTGTGTCAAATCCTGAAAAACACCCGTCTTGTTGGTCATGCTGGAAGAACCAAACGCATGATTGATTCTGGGTTCAACGTGTGTCAAGCCGCCGCATCTTTTGGTTCGTCGAGGATCCAAGCTTTGGGATTCATAGACGGTGCGAGGAAGCAGGTAGAGGATAAGGATAAAGCAACTTGTTTCACAGAAATGGCCAGGTGGTTCCTGCTGTCAAGGACACCAAAAACAGCCTTGGAATAACAAGAAACTGCTTCTTTTCCGTGGGTACTAATATTTGGCTTGTGCAAACAGGTCATTTTCCGACGGTTGTCAAATCGTCATCTATTCCGCGTGTTTCAAAACTGATCATTTGCTTACGTGCCCGACCATCCTGATTCTAACACCAGAACTTCAAAATTTGTTCCTTCCCTACTTCCCGCACCAGTAAGGCGAGCTCAAGGACAGTGGAAACATTGGCTGAGCCTGAGCTTTCACCCAGCCCTATCAGGAAGTTAGGAAGTTCCCTCAGCTTCGAGACTCCAGAACCCTTCCTGGACGCTTCGTGACACGGTGGCGGGATCCAGCGTCCAAACGACCGCTGTTGTTTGTGGTCCAGCGGTAGGAATCGGTAGGAATGACTATAGCTGTCCATAGATAAATCCTAGCAGTAGGAACGACTATAGCCTCTAGCCATCTATTAGTCTATAGGATCTATTGGTACTTTTTGCTGACACTGAGCCTGCAACGGGAAAACATGTGCCATTTTAACTATTTCTGGGGGATTAACCGTTGTGTCCTTGATTCGGTTCTCTGTTCTATGACAGTCACCACACGTAGTGGATTATGACCTCCAAAGCATTTGAGACTTGCAAAGGGGTGGTGTATGATGCAACACCGCTAGCATGCGATGAACATGCTTGTTCGAGAATTTGCACAACTTTTTTGGTTTAGTGGGGCATCCAACGTGTACAGCACATCCGACGACCAATTCTCGGCGACACTCGTCGACCTGTTCGCCAGTTACCACACGCGGCTTGGGATGCCAGTCGCCCGGAAACGATGCCTTCAGCACTCCTTTTGTGCTAAACAGGCGTATGAATTCATGATCTAAATCTAAGGCGTGCAATCCGAAAGCAAAGTCACATCGAATCCAGTCTGACAGTGTTGACGTTCAGTGTGCTGTTCATCCGAGTTGATACATGCCGTTGCTTTGGCGCTTGGAACATGCTTGAAGCTTGTTACAACTTGTTGCATCATCTTTCGAGGTTCCATGCTGCTTTGGTTCCGGAGGTCGTCTTGGTTGGCTGCAGCGCAAGGCACGCTGCACATGCAGGTCTCTAACAGCTCTGTGTCATCAAGTATAAAGCTCCGCGGCCACAGAATACACACACACAAAAAAAAAAAAACAGACACTTCCAAAGGCTGAAGCGTTCAAACAAACATAACTCTTGGTTCAGCAACACCCACAAAAACGACTTCAAGACGGTACCGAGACTAGATGAAGAGGTGTGCGTTGTTCAAAAGCTCATCTAATGGGCTCACAGGCTCACCTCTAATGCGCTTCATTGAATGAAAAGGTGGGCCCTTTTATATAAACATATGTAATAGATTGATTGAATATGTTTGAATATGGCACGCCTTTCGTGAGTTCCTTTCGTTACACTTCCAAGGCTTGGAAAGTGTTGACCGCTGCTTGGGTGAGCTTAGAGCTTGGTGAGAGAAAACGAACAATAATATATTAGCATGCAAATCATGCAGGTTGTATAGAACCCTTGTCACGGGGTCTAGACCTTGCGGAGGAACACCAGCTCAGCCAAACCAACCAAAGACCTGGGATGCCTGCCCGACGGGCTGCCTGGATGGCTGACCTGCACTGAGGTGGACAAAGCCTTCGATCCTGTGCATGTTTGGAAAAGGCAAGTCAGCCACCCTTTGGTCCACATGGATAATGGCCAACAGGCCCGACGCCGGCATGGTTAGCAAGACTAGTGGGTCAAACAAGCAAACACTGGCAATTATTCATCATTTTTGCTAACCAAGCTCGTGAAGCTTGTCGCTCAAATGTTTTTAACCCACCAGGCGCCAAGACGTCCTCTTCAGCCGTAGTCTGCAATGCAAAAAGGAGCAGAGGTGTCAAACACCCCGCATCATGGAAAAGGGTGGTTCATGGTGGTTCCTTTACCGGAAGTGTACATGGGGGTGTACAGTGTACGTACTGAGACAGTGGTTTTGCGGCACTCGTTCTTGAACGTCTTTTGGCCCAAGCCATGTAGGCTGATGAGGCACCCATTACCTCTTTTCAAGTCATGCAGCAAATTCACTTTCAATTCTCAACCAATTAAAGCACATGACGCGCGTATATATATATATAGAGATACCGTATATAGGAGTGATTCAATCAACCCAACAAACCACAATTACAGTAAAGGGATACAAGGGGTGCAAAGCACTGCAAAGCATAAAACCTTATGCATCCTTGTGCCCAAATGTCGTTTATCTTCTTGACTGATTCTTCTTCCTGTGGGAGAATCAAATCTGCATTGCATTTGAGGACCACAACCTGAAGAAGAACCCTCACTGGAACAGCTGCACTTCTAAGCGTGCTGTGGCTGTCCATCACGCATTGTCAAGCACCCACACTGGCAAAGCAGCCGCACATCCTGCTTGGCTTGACAACGGCTAGAAGTGTTCCGAGAACGAAAAAACAATCCAACGCGATATTCAATAGGGCAGGGAATGACCAATCCAATAGGTTTTGCATCTTAGGACTCATGACTTCCAGGTACACAGCACCGTGGCAAACAAGAACTTATGTATATATATACTGCAGCACTGCGCTCCAACAGGTCACCATCCGCAACATTGACGTGTGACTTCAGTCTCCTCTGAGATTGCTGGTGCCCAAGCACTCCATGACATTGTTGCATATTTACCTATACATTTGGGTGGTTTGAGGGGTTGATGATGTAGGGGTGTGTGTGTGTGCAACATTCCGTGCATGATGATGTCATGGATATGAGGCTGCAGCTGGTAGCGTCCTGGCGGCTGAGAGCTTGCCTCCTGCCGGTCCCAAGACTCGATTCGTTCCGTGACCGCTCTCATTGGGATCTGAAGTGGCTGTAACAAGAGAAGTCAAACCTGCCTTATGGGAAATCTACAAAAACCATCCAAATACCACTCGCATTTTCACACGAGGGAGACGAAATGCTCAACCACCGACAAGAAGCAGGCTTACACTATAGGCTTACAACTAGGCTTACACTAGACTATACTATACTTGGCTGCTTGGCTGACTGTTAATGTTACGTAATGCTCAAGTTGGCAGCAGGGACCCTCTTCACAGGAATTGGCCAAGACTATATACAGGACAGCAAATTTTGAGATGTTGTCGCGTGGCAATACCCAGTGCCCTAGGCCATCCCAGCTGCAACACATACATCCGCTCTAGTTCTAACTTTGGGGTTTGGGCGCCCTGGGAAGCCTATAGAAGCCTGCTCGGTGTTTCTTTGTTGAGGTTCATCCACCCACATGGTGCCTACCTGGATGTGCTGGAATCCAAAGGATCTCAACAGGACAATGGACAAAAGGAAGGACAACAATGGATCTCAGAGCTGCTGTATGAAAAGGACGAAACCTCTTGTGGAAATACTATCCATTGAAGGTTCTGAAGGGCAGCACTCAATCACATCAATGAACGGATACAGCTGTAGGTCAAGCATCTACCTCTGGCCCATGATGGCCCAAGGTGCAGCCTGCAGGACTTTGGAAGAACGCCTCATGGAAGGACCTTGGCTGCGCAGGTGGTGCAGTGTAAGGATCGACCATAATCTTGATTACCATTTACTCCCCCTGGCATCTCAAACATGACCTCCCTCAACCTCATCGATATCATGATAGCTCATGAACGTGCAATGCCTCAAAAGCCATTCAGAAGTCAGAGTATTTTGATGGGATGTCCTTTCTCCTCCATCAACTTGCATCTGATCAGGCTCTTGAACGAAGCCAAGAACCATGCTTCCAAAAGATCAGGAGGGGAGAAGCTATGCAGGAGCAAACATCGCAGCATGTGTTCAAAGGTCAGGTATTTGCAGCATATGCAATCAAAGAGGTACCCAAGAGATTGATGGGGGAACTGCGCTCGTCATGCCTTGGGTCACATTGTGGGAACAAAACGGAATATGTGGCACCTTGAGGAGTCAAACCCATATTCAGAACGAGTCATGATGTCATGACCCCGAAGGGGTCGGTGCCCTGTTTTCTTTAAAGGGTTGGTGCCCTAGTGCCATACCAAAAATTCTACAAGGTCTCGAGGATATACCGTCCTTCCATATTCAGTTTGCGTCTGAAGATCAGCTACGATGAGACTTGATAAGACCATTGATGGTTCCATTTGCAGTGTAAACATAGGCCCATGGAAACACGCATAGGCTCATTGAGGGTTCCAAAAGCATTGGTCTGAAACGACGTGTTTGTGTGGACAGTCCAAGTTGCAAATGCTTTAAAACGAGGGAATGAGGCAATCCTATACCTACTAAAACAACGCAGGCGTAGGGCGCACAAAGCGTGTGGTTGCATCACTGATGATGGCTGTGGCCAACTAAACGACCCTTGCATCACTACTTCCCAAACCCTCTGCATATGGAATCATATGGAAACGTTACAAAACATTGCCTACCTGGCCATAGCCATACCGGTCATGGTGTCCTTTTCAATTCTTTTCAGATGTTCACCCCTTCACCACCGATCGTCGTCGCGCATTCGAACGAGGTTCAAATTCTGTGCTTCGCTCTCCACGGACCTTCCCTCGGCCGGAGGATGTGTTAGGGATGGAATCGATGGAACATCTCACACGATCCCTCCCTCCTCCACTATTCTTTCTATTCCACTATTCTTTCTCAAAGCTCTCATGATGGTGGGTCACAACCCTGCATTCCCCAACAGAATGCACCATGTGCATCTTCCGGTTGATGTTCACCTCTTCAACGTGTGTCTATTCCAAGGACAACACATGGCAACCCCCCATCCAAGCAAACTAAGCATATCAGCCAAGACGCCAATATTCCTTAGTAATTCTGGCGATCGCGATCGTGAAAACAAGTAGAGGAAAATGCGTATACAAATAGCTTGACGTGAGTGGGAACAAACCATAGGTCTATACAAAATGGAAACATCAACCTTGGCATTATTAAGTGTTCCCTCTCACCCCTGTGATGCCGTCGAGTTTCTGGGTATGTACATGCATGTTGCATTGGAACGGCACATGGCATGGAACGAGAGGTGTGACAGGGAACGAGGTGAAGACCGCACCCAGTCGACCCACACAGTTTGACCCCATCGACTGAGATCTGACTTGGGTTGCTCCTCCACTTAAGATTCTGCAATGCCTCCAAAACATGGCAAAACCACCGGCCGCGCTCCTTTCTTTCGACAGCATTATCGGCATCTTCATGGTTAGATTCGGTTAGATGTTATACCATGACCAAGTCTTGTCCTAAAATCATGTCCTAAAATGAAGGAAGGGCTCAGAATCTCACCTGGAAGACCGTGTTCTTCGTACCAGGTGTGTCGGGAGTGTCTTTTTCCAGGTCTGCTGGTCGAGCGTCTTGATGATCGTGAGCATTTCATCCTGCTTCACCTGAGTTTCTCAGGAAAACAACAAAAACGAAACGCCAAAATCTTCACATAAAGGTAGAATTCTGCTATGATGCTTGTATTCCATAAAGTCCTTGTAAACCCCATGCTGATGGTAATTAAAGGGCTGAAGTTTGCGTGTAGTTACTCCAAAGGCATGGCCAATTGCAATACGCACTCATCATTTCCAGTATCTACACAAAAGTAAAAACATACATGTGCAGTGCAGCATGCGTATATATGTATATATATATAAATTATATTCTACATATATATATGCACTTTTGCACATATATATATATAGAGTATGTATATATACATATATGTATATATATCCAGAGTTCCTTTGGGCATGCCCAACAACGGTAACACACTGGTGTACCCAAGAGGTCAGGATGGGGGACACAGCCAGCCCCGCATCGACTCTCAGCATGGTAAACTCCCGATAGTAGAGCTGGTATGGTTATATAATGACCCCAAAATAGATAGAAAGGTAATTAGATGTCCACTAAACCACTAAACATGTATTGGACACCATGTCTTATCTGTTTGAGAATCGCACGGGATCACTATAGAGAGGCCATGTATGCACAATGCTCGTTGGGTGCTCCCCTTCCCACCTTGATCTCATTGCCCACCTTCTGCAACTGCCGCTCCTGCGAAAGAACAACTGCCAACGAAATCCAACCGTTCCAGGAGATACAGAAACACAATCCACTCTTGGTAATTACAAGGAACCAGGGCTTCTTCGTTTATTTGAGCTTCGTCTTTGTAACCGCAAAACACTTAGCCGCCAAATACTTATTACAGTGCAACTGGAGTCACCTTCAAGAGTTCCACACCACCGTTTCCCAGCAGGTCTCGTGCATTGTGCTCTTTCTGCCGCCAAATGAACAATGAATCTCGTGTGCTTGACAGCGGTGCCTGCATCCCAAAAGCTAGATTCTGCTGCATAGATAAATAGAAACAACCTCCGTTTGTCGCAGGGCATTCACTGTTGAATCTATTTCATCACATAAGCTTATCAACATCACGGCCCTCTTCGGCCCAGCTGTTCGATTTCTTTTGCTGCGCCGACGTGAGACACGAGGTCACTGCGCGATGCGGCTTGGAAGGCCATGCGCCTCTGGTGTCCTGAGAGAAGAAAGGTCATTTCTTTTGCATGGCTTGCCTTGTTCCAAGAGGAGCGGGGCGGGGGCACAAAGAATCTTCCCAAGTTGCAAGGGTCCGCACACCAACGAGGTTTCTGTGGTCGAAAGCAAGGGTCATGCTTTCAGAGGGCACTCACTGGAAGAGTTCTCCCTTTCTTGGGGGCTAATATACAAAATTATACAAGCATGGTGATACATATACAAAAGGCCGAGGGCCATTCTTGTCAGGACGTGTCTCATCTTCACAACCACTTTCGAATTGCAAAAACACACTGGGGCCAACTGGTCTGATCATGGGTTTCCACAACACCCGCCACCCGCCAGCAGGCGGATAAAACACGATAAAACATATTCCGAACACCCCATGTATGGATTCTTTACTTACATTGGGGTACTTTCAATGGTCTTTGGCAAAGAATATTCTCTACCTGGGGTGTCTTGGTATTTAGACCAAGCGTCTGGCTGTCACACATTGTTGGCCAAGGGCATGCACAAGGCGTGCCCCTCGCCCGACGGAAGGTCAGCGACACGCGCCGCTGCCGAGGGATGACTTTGCCTCAGCCGTGACATCATGCTAGATTGTCGCTGAGATACCCTGTTGAGAGTTTAACAATCCATTATATGATATATATATATATATGTATGAATAATGGTTGCATATACGCGATGAACACATATTCACCTCTCAGTGACTCTTTCTTGGATAACGACATAGGTGGTTTCTATCGGGTTCACCTCTTGGCCTCGCTGTTGGGGCCCATGTCAGTTTGTTTTCCATGCCCCCTGATTTTCCCATGTCGAGGGTTTGCCGTGTAGATCATTGAAGGTTGTTTCGGTTGTTTTCATGAGCTTTATGTGTGAATATATATATATATGTGTGTGTGTGTGTTGTACGAGAAGCATCCTGTCTGTCCTGGCTGGACTACCCTACTGCACACTACCATCCGGATCTCCAGACAGGACACATAGACAGGATGGTATAGGTGTGTGTAGTGGTCCCCCCAAAAATAGAACAGTAAATTCCACTAAAAATATGTTGGAAATCGTTTCTATCTATTTGAAGACTTCAACAAAAAGGAAGTCCACTTCTTGCGCACCAACTAGGCCAGCAACCGGAACGCCACTTCCGCGGCGCGGAACGTGGGTTCGTCCTTTTCCTGACTTCTGACACAGGCCTCGCTGAAGCCGAGAAAGATTGTAAGACATCTCCACGCTCCGTTTCCCAGCCCCCCCATCCAAAGCAATACAACATCTTAGGCACCCTCTTCGACTTAGGCACCCCAGTCCCCCATCCCCCCAAACATCACCTCAAAATTGATTACAAAGAGCTTAGGGCTAAGGCACCCTCTTCGACACAATCAGTCTTTCTCCAAGCGATCCCATGGAGCCAAGCATAGCGCGCTTCGCCTGTGATGATCAACCTGGGCGCCGCGGCAGGTCCAAGGAAAACCGGCTGACACGTCCCGGAAGTGTCAAAAACATTGGAAAGCATTGTCTGTCAATGGGCTAGATCCAGTGCCCAAAGCTTGCTAAAGAAATTTGTTTTCTGCGCAAGCCGCCCATTTTCTTCCCTGTCGGTCTGGCCCTTCCCTTTGACATGTCCCTATATACGGTATGAGCTGAAAAATCACAAGCATGGAATCAGGGAACAATAACTCTGATCTAGCGCCTTGCCTCCTCTTCTGTGCCCAAGTGGCAGGGAGTTGGGTGGCAGCCACACGTTCTTGGTCAGTTCCACAGCACTCCTCAAACGTGGGCATGGTGGGACGCAAGAACCTGCCAATTTCCACTGGGGCCGCTACGGAGTCGCTGGAGCCATCCGGTGGTGTTTGCCCATGGAGACCTTCCCAGAAGAGTCCTCAGAGAACACCGCGCGAAGTGCACGCCGGAAGGTCAAGTTGGTCAACTTGCCTGGTTGGTCAAGCTTCGTGGGGAATGAAGGTTGCTGAACCTTCAGGGCATCCCAGGATTGTTGAATCTTTGGAAACTCAGGTGTGGGCATTCCCTCTTTCTTGCTGGTCGCATCAATCATAGATGTCGTTTAATTGGATCTGCTCTGGAATGATCTCCGACACCGTGAAATGCTAGAACTGCGATGGGATATTCCATTCTCAAGTCAGCCAGCGCCACAGATTCACTAGCACCAGTTCAGTTTTTGGTCTATCTCAATATCGCTCTCTAAGTCTTCAACACCCCTAGGGCCCCTAATTACAAAAGGTAAACAAATGCCTTGAACCAAGGGCTTGGGTTAAAGGGCGCCTCAAATCATCCACCGGTTTTCAAACCTCACGGAATGCCCCCCCTCAGTGAAACCTCCAAACCCTTCAATCGGCAGGCAGCTAAAGGCGCCGAGTTGCAGGCTCAGGCTTGCGAAACTCCATGACCTCAAAGCAAGGAGATATCAAACATACTACCTGTGTAGTAATGATATATATATATATAAATATACGATGCATGCATATCATCATACCTGTGTGTGTCCTGCATGCAAAACATATACCTGGACCATCCGTGGCTTTATGGGATCACCTGGCCGGACTGCCCGTTGCCGTTCTCCATGTACGGCGGGTACAGTATATGTCTTCTGGTTTGTGTCAACCACCCCTCGCTTCAGTGTGCACGGGGGAACTGAACAACCAGAAAACAACAGAAAACAAGACCTGGTCGTATACGACGTAAATCTTGAAGCATCTTGAAGCCCTTGCTTTGATAACCTGACCAGTACGCCACGTGCATTGATCATTCATGCACACATTAAATCATACATGCATTCATTGTTATATCATTGCGTACATTTTGTTCAAACCGATCGATCCCCTTCTCCATCTTCCTTGAAACTGAGGCGCGATGCCCGAGTGCAGGCTCACCGCTGCAATGGTGTCCTCAAAGGCGCTATGAGCATCCACGTGGGCAGCGATGCCGATGCCCGCCTCGTACCTGAGCAGTGTGGAAATGACGCCAACTGCGCTGGTCAGCGAGTCTCACTGGTACTTCCAACGACCCAATCTGTTTCAACTGCTGATCATTTGCACAGGCCTCCATGTAGAAACATAACACCAACAAACATCATGGATACCCCTAACCAATCCTGCTAATGCTAGGTCGTGTCTTGCGTTGAGTTCAGCTCACCACATCATCACCAACCCACCATACCTCCCCAACCTTCCCCTTGAAATCCACTCGCTGAGCGGAGCGACTCATTCACCGTGAGCTGATCGATGCGATGCGGCATCAGAGCGGTCTGCTCCAGCCGCTGGAGCAAAGGCTGACAGAAGTCTGGCATCTCTGGCACAGTGCCTTGGATGGATTTCAGCATCTGCCAAGTGGGCGGATTGATGAACATAAATGCCTGGAAGTGGAGTGGAACATGGATATATAATATATTATAATATATATGTGATTACACTTTTTTTAAACAAATGTAGGTATGTATCTTATTATGTATATATATATATATATCTTAATATATCTTAATTATTATAGTGTCCCGCAATGTCCTGTAGGGTCAAGCTCATCTTGGACCTGAGATTCCCAGTGGCTCCAGCACCATCCCTGATGAGGTCATCATTCCCGCCCCCCCCATTTCAACCGCTCCGGACCGGACTGCCTTCCCCCATCCGAGCTTCCGGGATCTGCGATCATCAGCTTCGCATAGTCAAAGGCGCGGCCGTAGTGCCTCAGCGGCGACGGTCCCGGCTGGTCCCTGGCTGATCGCGGGAAGATTGTCGCCCATGTGTGCAACCGTCGTAAGGCCTTCGACATGACGTGCAGCAGCAACGGGACCAGGTGCAAATGGATCAGGTGAACTGGTGAAAGTAGAGTTCTTCGCTAGGGCTGGGTTGAAGCAAACCTCAACCTGCCGCTTCGAACCCCGATACACCCCGATACACCCCGTAAAATCATGTAAGGGCACAGAAATCTCACGTCCATTCCATTTCACTACTTGTGTATGTCGGCCAGCAAACTAATCTCAAACAATTGTGGAAGGTAATCCTTCCGGCTGTTCTCGTTCCGCACTCTACCGGGATGCTTGCATGAGTGCCATGGTGACGGAATGGATCGTACCGATAGAACAGGACCAATGGCCAATGCCCATAAAACATGTTGTTCGGGTTTCCAGTATTTTCGTTCAAGAAATTGGATGAACATCTTGAACATGGCGCCTTTCGAGCCAGCCACTCTCCCGACCACAACGGTCCGACTCTCCAAAATGCAGCCGCCGCGGCTGCACCCGGCGTTTGATGCCTCAAGCGAGCGGACAAAAAACGAGCTGTGCGGCCATGGAAGGTCGAGAAACCCCATTGGATGGTCTGCAAACTTCAGAAATGAAGCCATGGGAAGCTTGTTGCTCTTTCTGTACAAGACGTTCCTTTTTGCGAGTAACCGCCGCTTCATTCTATGTAACGTAGGCAATCTGCACACAAGTCAATTGACGCCATCAGATTTATATAGCTCCTAGCAGCCCTATAGCATGCTTCTGGCAAACACCACGCCACAACGTTCCGTCACTTGGGGCCTGAACCTCAACTGGTCAATCCAAACACTCCAATCAGATCCTATAATAATGCCTATATATCTGTTCATATAGTGTGTTCATATTCTACGTGAATTCACTCTGGGAAGACCAAGCCGCACTCTGTGGGGCCCCATAGTTGGGACCGTTGGGTCCAGCAGTTGGAACCTCGGTTCCTTTCCTTTTGTTGGGACCTCAAAACCGGAGACGCCCCAAGCCCGAAACTGGTGGAAAAGTTGTGGATCAGAATCCAAAAGGCCACTCAAAGAAGCCTTTGTCTCCTTCTACCCCCTTTTAACTTGCCACTTGCCATTGATAAACAAACAAACACAAACTAACACCACCACCTGAACGTCACCTCCATCCACCCAGGTAGACCTCCCAGCTGCTGGTGTTCCAGGGTCGCTGGTCGATCTGCAGCAGCAGCTCTTGTGCTTCCATTTCGCTCACGAAGTCGGTCACCACGTGAACTCCTCGCGACGTCGGTCGACGTCGGTCGGTCGACACGCGGCGTCTCGACGTCGGTCAGTCGGTCTCGACGTCCGCAGGGACGACGAAAGCAGCAGGGTGAGACGTGCATCGAAGGAACCAATGGTCAAACGTTACATCCATGGACTGTAAAGGTTTGGGAGCTTTGAGAAGGTTTGGGAGTTGCTGTGGTCAGAAGGTTGGTTTTACATGGTTTTACAACCATGTAAAGGTTTGGGAGCTTTGAGAAGCAATTGGAGTCACGAGAAGAGACACCATGCAGGATGCTGTTGGCCCAATGACAGGCCACCGCGGCCACTCCCCTACTGTCTGCATGTTGGAGGCCGGTGTAGCTCGCTTGTATTAGATATGTCAGAATGGAGTCCTCTTGTAGTAATTATATGGTTGAGGGCATGCCAGGCATATGTCAGAATGGAGTCCTCTTGTAGTAATTATATGGTTGAGGGCATGCCAGGCTTCCAAAGAAAGGGGGCGTGGTCCCCTGTTGAAACTGCGTTTTTCAGATCGAAGCGGAATGCACAAAAAGGTCGAACTCTCGTGACTCGTGCACCCAGCCTGGCACCTCCACGTGTGCTGTGGACTCCACACTGCTGGGAAGGAGTACCTCGGTCCAATGCCATGGGAGTCTCTGAAAAAAGAAGGGATAACCATGCCCATCCATACCTCCCATCCATATCCCCCACAGACCTGGAACATCGAGATTCATACTCTCCCGCAAACGATCCCATAGAACCTGAGAATGGACCGGGTTTCGACCATTTGCCTCTACAACCCAATGGTTTTGGGGTTCCATGTTGATCTGCGGGGGAGTATATTGGCATGGCATCGTACAGCTTCGATCTCTTTTTATGGGACAGCGTGGGCGTCAACCTGTTGGCACCTCCAAGAACTGCATGAAGAACACCAACTGTCAGGGACACGGCCGTGTCCCGGCTGTGTCCCTGGCCATGTGAACCGGGGCGTTTTTGACTCCTCGAGCTGCACCAACCGAAGAAAAAGGAACACACACACAAAAAAAAAACAAAACGGGCTGGACAGGATGCTTGCCATGACACTCCAGACACCTCCCGAACTTCATCCTCCAACTCCGCAAACTTCACTCGCCAAGCGTGATCAGACTCAAACTCCAACTGGGCCTCGGTGAGGTCAACCACCAAAACCATGGCAGGTCTGGGGCAGCCCAGTCCATGCTGTTCGGTCTGCTGGGTCCACGAAGGTGGATTTTGATGACGATCCTCAAGACATGCTGAAAGGGAATACAACACGTGGTTGATTTGGCAGTTGCTCAATCCTCCAGCTCAAACCAACCTCTCCGATATTCATCCCCCAAACAATGGTCCGGCAGCTTTTAGTGCATGCCGTTGTGTGAAGGGATTTCTCTTTCCAGTCTATTTGGGGGCTGCTGTGGTGGTTCAGGCGCCACTGCAATCTTCCATCCTGCACCGTTGTGGGGAATTATATAAACCTCTTGTTTATCAGAAGATTCACAAGCTGGCGCAGCGCATTGGGCAGCAAAGTGCAAAGAGATGCCATCAGAATATATATATATATGCGAAACTTAACATACATGGATCATCCACTATGAAAATAATCCATCGTCCAGAAACACCATGAAATACCCACCATGGATATCCATGGATCTAGGCTCCCCACCTTCGCCCTGGCGGCCGCAGTCGGGTGCACGAAGCTGGCATAGGTGACGCCCGGGCCCAGGTGCAGTGCTACAACCTTTTCAAATGATCGAAACGAACAACAGCGGAAGACTGGAGAATGCTAGGGTGAGGGTGAGACAAAAAGGATGCTTTGAACGCTGAAAACTACATACTACCACCTACTATTTTGGAAGGAACGTCACGGATTGATGCCCTTCTGCGATCATGAGGGAAAGAGCCTTTGCCATATGTCATGTTGTATGCCACTATGACTATAACTACAAACGATTTTATCAACACCTGTTTAATGTTTTTTTTTGCACAAGAATGCTTTGCCCTGGAAACCGAGATGGGTCTGGAATGTGGTTCCTAGTTCTCTGATCCGCCAGTGATGACAGCCCCAGACTGCCGTATCAAACTGGCGATGACAGCCCCAGACCGTGGCAGCCGTGGCAAGGTGAGACGAAGGCGAGACCAAACGAGACCAGTGTTGGAAGAAGGATGGTAACGGCAACGATGTATTAAATGGTAGTTATAGTTATATGTATACTATATATGTCTTTCAATTCTCCTGGCATTCCCACCCTACAAACCGTTTCATGCACCCACCCTGCCAACAGTCGATCGGGGCAGGGACTGACCAGCCATGGGGTCCCCAAATTGTTGTCCCAAAGGCTGAGACTTCATCAGGCCATTCAATACTAAATATTATATAACATTATATATAGAAGGATACTCTTGCCGGAGCAATCAGGATTAACTACTATAACCATTATAGGACCTAATCCTATTCTCCAAACACATTCGTATGCCATATTAATATGGCCCTTCTCCTCGATCTTCTCCGTCTCCTCCGTCGTTGGTCCGGTCTCCTCCTCCGCGCCTCCTCCTCCTCCGCTTGCCCTTCCCGCAGGCGCCGCAAGACCTCCTCAGCGGTGTCGCCGCATTGTTGGCCTCCAAAACTGCACGGGATGGGCCACCGAAGGCGACCGATGACGGTCGAATCGGAGATGGAAGGACATCTGGCGTGGGTGTTTTACGTGTGGTTTCACTGGTGTGGCTTCAAGGAATGGGAACACGATACACTATACCACGACATACCACGACACTAGCCAGTGGGTCCAGTGGTATAGGAAACACTCCAATGGCGTGTGCGTTGGACCGCGCTTGTCGGGGGGGTTGCATCCGAGCCACTCAACGGCCTCTTCTGAATTGGTGAATGGGTCGTTCAACCTGGAGCCTGACCCGTCCACCATGTAGCCAACGACCTTTGAGATAGGTCAACCAAGATATCTCGCAGCCTCAATTGGCTCTAAAACAGTCCATGCCAGCCCCTTCTCTATTGGGGATGATTGGGGTACCAACGCCAGGAGCATGCAAAAGCAGTCCCTGGAGAAGTGGACACCAGTAAAATTCCTGCCAGGTGGCCGCAGTTGGCCAAATACAAATGCCTGCAGGGTGAGAGAAACAGCAAGGCTGCACTGGGCAAAACGATCCAAGCAAAACAGAACATCAACAGCAATGCTACAATCGTGCTTGTTGTTCAAAAGAATTCCCAACAGCACACCCCAAAGCTTCAATGCCAACAAACTTTCGAGCGTGGATGTGTCTCAAATTGCGGTAGGATACCTTTGGTGATACAACATGACACCTGAAGGCCAAACTATAGACATGCTCTGTAGATCATGAAGGGCTATGAAGGCCGCCCTTGTCCCAAGTTCCATCCTTTCGCCGAACTGCGCCGCCACTGAATCTTCCCAGCTCCGCGGAAACCCCGGCTCTGCACCTGGTGGGCGCCTTGTTCTTGGGTCTCCGGAAGCGAGTGGGGTCCAACGTCAGCATGGCACAGCGAGTGGGTCACCGTTCACCGGCTATCGCCGGTGGGGGGGAGAGCTGTGCGGTGTTGTTGTGCTTGGTGACATGGGTGAGAGGGTTGAAATGGTTTTTGGCTCTTGTGGAGGCGGTGCAGGTGAGGATGGTGCATTGGCTGGTCTTGAGATCATGTGAGATGAAGTAGGCCCCTTAAAGGTGAAGGCTTTAATTTAAATCTTCAGTTATCTTCAGGGTAAGCCAGTGTGCTATGTCAAGGGTAGCAACCCCTCCCAGGAGGGGGACGTTCTAATGATTAATCTGATAAAGGCCCTGGTCTTTCCATGTTCGACTCATTTTGGGGTCTACAAATAGCAGTCGATTGTACATCTGCGTTCAAAAAAATAATATAACATATCTTAGGGACTTCGTCCAATTTCAGGAGATATGGTGCTAAACATCTGAACGTCTCTTTCCTTCATTTCACCTGCTCGACAAACAGGCTTCGCGCACGCGGCTGCGGTCGGCATGTTCACAAGACTAGTTTGTGCGACAAGCACCCTCCAGATCAGTGGGCGAAGCCAAACAGACGTGCTTCATTAAGCGCACCTAAGGGGCCCCCTCACAAAACAAGCTGTCCACTTCCACCCTGGCAGGATTGAACAAGGACTGCCTTGCCGGGATGTCCGAGAAAAAAGAAAACTATATAGGCTATAGGATAATATAATATATAGGTCATCCAGTGGATGTTGAAAGAGGTCCAATCTCCACTGAGAATCGCCTGCTTCGGACCGCACTGACAACTTCATCCTGGTTCCCCACTGGTTTTCCATGGTTTTCCTGCTGTGAGGCCACGCGCACATCGATCAGAATATGTGCGAATCACCCCACGATCGGTCATCCGACCAGGCGGACTACCCGGTCAGACCGACACGACCGGTCGTCGGCGGTCGTCAGTCCTGCTGCTCCATTTTGATGCGCCTTGATGCGAGCGGACTGCGTTAGGACTGCGGTGGGCGAAGTGAAGCACATGGTTGGTCAAGAAGTTACCAGGGCCACAGGGAAAAGCCATCCGACCGTGGTTGAAAGGGACTGTATCACCTGAAGTCAACTGAAAAGAAATAAAGCACATTAAAGCACACATGATCAAATAGCCATATACATACCAATACTGTCAATCCACTTATGTGCTGCACAATCAGCAAATCAGAATCTACTGCGAACATCTGCAAACTCAGTGGCTGTTCATTTGCGATCTTGACCAGCATGCTTGCCTGGCGCGCAGGCACTGGTGGCTTTTGGCTTATTGTTCTCACGCCCATCTGACCAGTTGCAGAACAATGTGGACAATCAACAAGGGTAATTAACTCCAATTTGTTGAAACATTTCCCTTTAAAGACCTTTATTGCTTACACTTCAACGGAGGTTCCTCGGGATGCATGGCGAACATTGAAGATCTGACGGGGAGGTCATGTTTTCTGACATTTCAGATCAATAGACCCACCGATACAAGTTGCTCAAGAACCCACCATGAAGTCATCTCTGATTTGCTGTTTGCAGTGTCTGTCATGTATAATACTTAAACGTGGCAGCGACCGAACCTTTTCTACCGCTCGAGCCCTGCAGCTCCGATCGAGGGACCGTCGGCGGGGCCGGTTCCGTTTCACACAAACCCCCTATGGTGCCGAACGGTCCGCTCGAGTCTGCTGCACATAGCGCTTCTTGCGCTCCGCGGCCTCTTGCCGCAGCCGCCTGGCTTCAGCTGTATCCACCAGGCTCCAAAGGCCCTCTCTGAGGACCTGCAACAACACTCCGTTGTCGCTCCATTTCGTGAGCCCGTCACTCACCATCTCCTTGCCGGGCATCCACCGGACGAAGTTCTCCGCCCCCTCCTCGATCAAGGCCTCGCGGAGGACGGC